CCTTGACGATACTCTGTCACATTTACACTACGTGCTATAGCTCATGACCACCAGATGCTAGCACTAATGCACAACAGACAGTGGATAGTGCCATAACCCTACTCGAGAATGAGTCACTCCAAACGCCTTGCACCAAATTTCTAAACACTACTACTATAGAAACTGGATTTCTGTATCCTTTCGACCCAAGATAGTTACACTCGAGTAAGCGTTGTCCTTGCTATCTCTTTTATTTTTTCTCGCCTATTAGGTGATCATTAACCACTTCCCTTATTGCTTTGTATGCGTACATTCTCATTTCAAACTCCCTTTATACGACATTGCATTTACATCTTTAAGCGCCCGAACTGAAGACTCCATTATCCCTTTGCTACCTAATTTTGTCACGCTATACACCCTACGGGACATGTCAAGCATCTGCTTTTTTATCCGTTATTAATCGTTGTTCATTGTTGGTTGTTTTCGCTTACCATCAAGGCGGGAGGAGTGTTTGCCAAAATCAGACGTTTGTCAGTGGGAAGAAAAGAGTGATCCGGGCCTCTACCACTGCTGAAACCCATCCAATCGGCTTTAGACAGCCGTTAATGCTTCACTAACCGGAACATTGTTGCCTAGAACCATATCGTCTGCGTATTTACTCGAATAATGTTGGAAGGAATTATACCCTTTCGATGTATAAAGAGAACAGACGAGGGAAGGGGATTTCTTCTGGTAACCACTACAATCACCACGGAGAGTAGGGGAATCTTACCGTTTAGTTGCGTGAAATGAGAGCGATTGACTAAGCAATTGCTCATCAGCTTGCCTACTGCTTTTGTACACCATCCGCAGGCATTTGTTTAAGCAGGATTGGCCTGGTGCCACTTCCAGTAGCGTTGAATTAACTAAGGAAGAGCAACCGCACAGTCTTGCCTTTCACATCCAGTGAAATTGCTAGTGAGTGAAGGGGGTATGCTACGGTAACTATCGTGGAACGCCGAGTTCTGTAGGCAAATTGGGATACGTCTACGGCCGGATTGTTTGGTTAGATCCACGGTACAATTAGTCGCTGTAGGATACTCAGCATGATGGGCGTGCAGGCGATCGAACGGAATTTCTTGGATCTGATGTTAGGTACAGGGCCTTTATATGTAGGCACCGATTAAAAGATCTGCTAAGGGCCTTGTAGGTATCGACACACTCTTTCAAGACAGCTGGGGAATGAGCATCTGGTACACTATACTTCCTTGAATTCAACTTCCTGATTTGACGACTAGGTCGGATGTGTCGTAAAATTGGCGGTGTTCGAGGAGTTGACGGAGCGGGAAGACTTGATTCATCCATCCATGGTCGGGACGGAAACCAGCTTGTACTTAACGGTAAGATACACGTATTGGGGCTAGCTAGTGAAGCAGAATTGGTGTCAACAACTTGAAGGTATTCAAGACGGGACTAATCCCTCGATGATTGACGCGTAAAATACCAGCAACTTTCGCGGTACTCGAGATGCTAACGGATCCTTGAGATTTTAGCAAACAACGCCATATGGTTAGTGATTCTTATGCCGTCGTGATTTAACACCCCCGAAACAAGTCCGTCTGAGCTGGCAGTCTTGAATCAATTTAAGTGTCTAACCTTGACGCAAAGGTTTGCTTTGCTAGGTGGATTCAGCGGGACGAGCGAAGCTGAACAATTGGATATGCAGCGTGCACAGATGTATGAGACTACCTCTTGAACGGTAAATAGAAGTGATCAAGCTAGTTATACAAGACGAAAAAGAATCATTTGTTGCTGCCCTATCTGCATAAGTGTCTGTACGTTGAAGCACGCAGACGTCACGTGTATCGGGGCCGAGTAAGTGCCACTGTTTACATTTCAAGGTTCACGGTGCAACCGGAACCATAGGCAGATTCATGCACACAGGAATCAGGTATCGGATCGCAAGGATTGCCAAAAAATAAGTAATTGGCGTGCGATGAATCCGCATGAATGTAAGAAACAGCAGCGGATGAGGCAGAAACACATAGTTGCAGCTTACCACCTTAATTTATACAGCTAAATGATGCTACGTTTAAAGATTCGAAGCGTCATAATGTCCATACCACAACGACGATTATAAGAAAAAGGAACACATAACTAGACCGAATTGAGACACACTATTCCTTGAAAAGGACACCGCAGCGACCATATGAAGAGATATAGCGACCATCGAGTGTGATTCAATCACGGAATCAGCATCGCTGCAGCATTCAACGCACCATCCCTATATGTAGTAACAGCGCTTTGGAAACCTCCTTTAGTGGGTAACTTCCTGTTTTCTTTCTCAAATTTGTCATTCGTTTTTATCTGGTACCATTTTTGGTGTAAAGGAAGATAACTAGGCCCACCGCGCTGACGTACAACGCCCATCTTAGTGCGGAAAACTACAGGCTGTCCGAACAACCTGTCGTTGTTGCCAGTTGGATGGTTCGGGTTTATTTTCTTCCAAAAATGGTTCAGTTTGGCTTAGGCATACAATATGGACGCATCCGGAAAAGTACTTAATGTCCAATTCCCCTTAATGGTATTCATCAGCAGCGTGTCCTCCGCTCCAGTTTTCATGAACTCATGCTACGCAATTCGCACCAAAAATGACAGCGACAGTCTAGGTGGCCAAGTGAGTAATTGTGAAATGACGTGTCTCATCATGCCAATTCTGTTCTCTGTAAGGCAGTAAGGTGTATGCCAGACCACAATGGCACGTAGGGTGTGACAGATCGTACCTTGCTCGTGAATGAATCAAGGGCAATACGGATCTAAGCAAAACAAACAACCCCATTGCATTAACAAAACAGCAGACATGAGGGCTGGGTTAAGTCAGCATCAATACGTTGCCACATTCTAGTGACACTTCTTCCTCACACAGATACGTGGGCTGAGGCTACCACTAGGTCGCTATCGCCTACGCGGATTCCAACCGGTGGCCAGGTTGCAACGACTGCGCGTAATCCTCTCGGTCACTGGCCGAGGGAATAATCCATTACGTAATAGCGATTATGTGTTGTAGAGTCCAACTCGGCCATACAGATGAGACTGGGTTAATGGTGCTAATCCGAGCTGGCAATGGAAACTAAGTACAAATCTCCGCAATGCATGGCAGATAGCTTAAGCAACAACAAAATGACTAAGTAACAGTATCTGTTGGCTACGATAATACTAGTATCGAACGTATGTACCACCACTGGCCACATAATTCAGGTTTTAGAGGATGAATACGTTAGATCTTCACTTTTTTTCGCTATTCCGAATTAACCACCCGAAAATTTCTCCGCAAAAATTCTAGCCCAGCCGTAGAAAAATCAAAATTCCAACAGTCTTGACCACGAAAAACGTGTTACCAAAAAGCTCTGCTAACGTAGCCAGATAATGCCGCCGTAAACACTGCCCTCTCAACTCTGAAGCAAAAGTTCAATTAGCTGGGTGTTTGGAAACGCATTCGTCCGCTCATTCGATTGCCTGATTGACCGCACGGGGTAGGCGATTCCCTTCAGCCCAGGTTTCAACCACCATTATATACTTTCCTTTTTTCTTTTATGTTTTTATCTGATTCCCGGATACCTCCCCTCCTGAAGCTTCTGCCGTTGTGTATAATGCTAGTCTGAGATTAAGCTGAAGCCTCCTGGAAGGGGTTCTTCGCCTACCGGTGCATCGCCTTGACTGTAGTGTTCTGGATTCGGATTCCGTGCTCTGCGCTCTGGTACCATTCGCCTGATGACAGGATTCTTCTACCGGCTCTGTAGGCAAGTTGAAGCTGTCTGTCAACAGGTCAAATGGAAGCTTGGCGGATTCTGTTGCTTGTGGCTGACACATTGTTTTTCGCAGTTGGTTTGCGTGGCGTACCCATACCTGCATTCCAACCAGCACGTCGAAAATGACGCTTCCGCGCTTGCGCTGGATCGTGCCTGACGTTCATTTCGCGTGTCCACTCCGATAATCACGGACATGTACTGGCTGATCCGGTCTAAACGAACGTTGCTTGGCACCAAACCGCCGATTAAAATCACGTTCCATATTGAGATTCCTTTCACCAGCTATGGACTCTGAGGACGGCCGAACTGCATCATATGGCATGCGATGTCTTCTCTTCATCATTGCCTCTGCTGGTGATATTCCACCCGGTGTTTGTAAATTTTGTGTAAATTGATACAGAAATAGGAAGCAGTCGCTCAGCTCCTCTATGTCTCCCTCCCTCCTTGATTTGAGGAGAGCGCGTTTGAATGCATCCACAAACCTCTCCGCTTGGCCATTCGATTGTGGGTGGAATGGTGGAGACCGCACGTGTTTGATGGTGCAACGTTGGCAGAATTCCGTGAATGTGGTCGAAGTAAACTGTGCTCCATTGTCCGTCACCAATGTTTCAGGGCAACCGAACCTGCTGAAGATTTGTCGCAATCTAGAGACGGTTGCGCTGGTTTTCGTGCTGTGAGAGTCGAATTGTCATGGCTGTCAAGGATCTTGAATCCGTGAAGAGTTCGCGATTTATCTAAAACCGCCAAAACAGGTTCCTGGGTGGCGACAAACGCCATGGTTGCAACTTTGCCACAAAAGCTATCTAACAAAAGCCGATGAGAAGTCTGTGTGTTCCTTTTCCTGACAATACTGGTGTTCTCAACATTGTCGCAACCCTTACTCTCAATACAATACGCAACAAGAGGAGAGTGTTGATGACAGCAAATCAGTTTTCCTGAGTAATAATTATACTCCCAGAAGAACTTAACTACGGTTTTCATTTTAACCTTGTTACTCGCTGTGATTTTCTCATGATCTAATGCAATGCTGAAGAACTGTAAATCACATTGGTTCTGCGATCGCCAGCTCCAGTGAGATGTATGAGCTGCGCTGCTTCCATTTTGACGGTAAAACGTTAGCCACCGTGTAGTATGCGTCCGGTAGAGGATTCCGAATGCCTTCGTGAGGTGGTCGTAAAAGACCGAGGGGCATGAACTACTATACACGGCAGAGAATCGTATCTGATACATTGCATGCACACATGGCATTTATTGAACGGAACGATTACCTTTGAAGTGCCCGCTTTGGAGAATGTACACCTCTCTGGCCACACTTCACAGGACAACGGGGGCTTTCCCCATTCTCCCGATTCGCTTTCGTTGCTCGCACCGGATTTTGTGGCTTCTGCGGACCAGTTAACAGATGTCCCTCCTACGGTCCCACAGCAGCTGCAGCAGTCACCGATGATGCCATGCTCCGATGTGGAGGACAATACGACCGTTTGTCAGCCAGCTGTGGAAGAGAACAGTATAAAGGAATCCCAACTACATTTGTCAAATGTGCTCCTACCGGCGGATAAGTGTCTCACTCCCTCACACCCCACAAGTGTCCCATCAGATCCCATGGTTGAGACAGAGTTGATAGTTCATGAGATGGAAAGGCGGCTTCTTTTGCCGGATAGCTTGTGCGTTGCAACTGAGCAGGATTTCTTTCAAAACACTCCCCCAGCGCCAAACTCACACACACCGGGAAGTCCGTTGGCGACGGATGCATTGGAAGTCAATGACAACCCGAAGATTCCGGATACAGTGGACACCCAGCGAACGCTTGCAGTACAGCTGGAGTCCATTGAGGACGCGATGCTTAATCGCGCAGCGTCTGCGTGGTTATTACCTTCTACATCAACTGACGAGCGTGAACAAAGTCCTACTCGTGATCTGCTGTATGACAAATTGGACCTCTTGGGTGCATTACTTCTTACACCACCGCCGCCAAGTGAACAAGAACAGCCGGGTGACATTCTGCCTGAGCCTAGGTTAATCTCTCCACCTGGAACAAACCGCTCTTTGTTAGGTCAAGATTTTCTATCACGCCCCGACCCATCACGTGATTCTATGCAGGATGATACCGAAGAGCGTGGTACTCCATCTGCTGATTTATTCTCGAATTTTGGAGAACCTGATGCATTGGGTCAACAACTACGTTCTAGGGATTCGAGTGGACTACCTCACAATCTCTCTGAAGTCTGCGGTCTCGGTGGAAATATCCACGGAGAGATGTGAGCTGGTCTACTGTCTCGTCGTGTTCGTCATCTGATTCAGTAGACGGTAGTCAAACTCCTGTTGACCGTGTCCCACTGAAGCTGACCACTTTCACTATCGGCGGAGTCGGAAAGGACACTCCTCGTGCACTCTCTCCGATGACAATAGGCCTTCTACGATCGTTAGTGGAGCAGTCGCAATGACATTCTCAACAAATGGAGTCAGTATTGGCCCGTTTAAGCGAGACACAAAGCCAACTAAGTTCTCTCCAACAATCGCACTCGCAACTACTTGAGAGTTTGAGAAGAAGTCCTGCTTTCGGATCCCACATCCGTCGTCATTGTTAGGTCTTCACCTTTTTTCGCTATTCCGAATTAACCACCCAAAAATTTCTCCGCAAAAATTCCAGTCCAGCCGAAGAAAAATCAAAATTCCAACAGAATGTATATTGGCTGGTGCTACTAGCGG